GGAAGGAGGAGCACCACCACCACCACCATCATCCGCGGCGGGAGGCGGAGGCGGAAGGAGCGGGAGCCTGCCTGCCTGGGTCCCGGCCGCGAGGAGGAGGAGGAGGAGGAGGAAGAGGATGAGGCGCGCGGAGGGGAAATGGCCGCCGAAAACAAGCCGGAAGGTGAGCGAGGAGGAGGAGGAGGAGGAGAAGGGAAAGGAAAAGGGAGAGGAGAGGAGGGGGAAAGGGCTCAAGGCCGGAGGGAGAGGGAGACGCTCCGGCACATGCACCCCACGCGGGAGCGCGCATGCGCGCCGCCGCCGCCGCCGCTCTCTGCCTTCCTTCCTTCCTTCTTCCCTTCCATCCTCTGCGCGTCCCTCCCTCCTTGCCTCCCTGCCTGCCTTTCCTCCTCCTGGCCCCAAAGTTGAGAATCAGATTCATTGGCTCCACTGACGTTGGCGCCAGCAGCCCGGGTTGTGTGTGAGTGTCCGCACAGATGGGTACACACACACACACACACATACACACTTCTCCCTCCTTTAAGGACAAGGGGAGCCCCCCTCCTCTTTCCCTGGCGGGGGGTGGAGGTGGGTCAGGAGGAAGGAGGAAGAAGGCGCGCCGGAGGGGTGTGTGCAAGGAGGGTCCCCTTGCTCGCCCAGGCATGCGCGCGCACCTGCGCGGGGTGTGTGTGTATATATGTGTGTGCGTCTGTGTGTGCAGAGACCGGCTCCTCTTTGCACGCACGCGCGAGCGAGCGATCGAAGGGGCGAGAGAGAGCGCGGGCACGCACACACACGCGCGCGCGCATACACACGAGGTGAGCGTGCAAACGCCCACGTGGGGTGGGTGTGAAGAGGAGGGAAGGGTGGGGTGGGGGAGCTGCCAGGGGAGGCCTGGGAAAAAGGGTGAGCAAGGCCAGGGGTCAGGAAGGAAAGCAAGCAAGGAAGGAAGAGCAGCTGAGTGACACCAAGGCAGGGTCGTTTAGTGATGATTCTGGGCCAGGCCACGATGACAGGCAAGGCGGAGCCTCAAGGAGGGAGGGAAGGCTCTCCGGGGCCCACCTGTGTATCTGCCCTCTTGCACACTGAAGGGACGAGCCTCCCCACCCGGCTCCCTCCTTGCACGAGGACAGGACAGTTCGCAGGCTGCCGGCTCCAGCTTGGCTGTGCAAGGAAGTGCCTTGACCGCCTCTCCTTCTTGCTGGCACCCGGATAGACCACAAATGTTTTCTGAGCTCAGGCCAAAGGGTCAGCGGGCACTGTTTTCACCCTCTGGCCCTGGAGAGGCTGCCCGACCCTCCTCCCTCCCTCTTGCCTCCTTACATGTCCATAACAAAAACCACAAACCTGTATGGAGTGGGTGCCGTTTAGTTTAGGGTCTGCCTTGGCCCCCAGGTGAGCTTGGCACTGGTGGGCGCAGGAGAGACGGCTTGTTTTTTCATTGTCATTTGAGGAGGTCTTGCAGCTGATGGCAGACAAGGACATGGCGGTGCTTGGCTGGATAAAGGTGACGGGACAGGCCCACGTTTGGATGGCAGGCGGAAGGGTTGAAGTGTGTTTTCCTTTTGCTCTACAGCAGAGAAGGAGGAGGGGAAGGGTGCCCATCCCTGTGATGTGGGTGAAGAAACGACACCTTGGCGACGGTTGTGATCAGACATGATGGAGGAAGGGAAAGCAAGAACATGTGGCTTTTTTCAGCCTCTTGGGTGGAGAATCTCCTGCTTTTCTCTTTCATCTAGCAAAGGTCGTGAGACCTACAAATGTAAAGCACCGTCCTGCAGCCATGCAGTTGCTAAATGTGGGAAAAGCAAAGAGCTTCGTTAATGTCAGCCGCTGGTTATGCCTTGGTTATGGTGGCAGGCCTGTGTGTGCACACAGATGAAATGAGAGGAAACGAAACCCATCGAGGTCCTACAGGATAATGTCCTCGGCAGCCAAAGAGAGGCCCTTCCCCTGTCAGGCAGATGGCCCTTCCATTCTCCTTCCCAGTGGTTTGGAGGCCGGGTGTCTGGAGGAGGGAGCCGTTTCCTTGTGCTAGTGCTGGAAGTATTATAGGATGGCTGGTGCTGTGCTTCTCCTGTGCTGCTGTTCAAGGAGGAGGCATGCGGTTCCTCTTTCTGGGGGTACAAATGGAATTTGCGCTGGGGTGCACAGGCATGTTGGCGTGTCGCTTGCACAGGTAGGAAGACAGCTGTCCTTGTTGAAGGACGGCTGTGAGCAGTTGGGTTGAGCACTTGGTACGTTTTCGGGCCTCGTTGTGTGCTGCCTGGTTGGAATGTGCCTGGCATAGGAAAGGTGGCGTGTGGAGTTGTCTCGGGAGGAGCGACTCTCCCTGCACAGAGAAGAGGATATATTTAACAGCATTTATCCATCCCACATGCTTTGGCCCATAACTGGCCAGTGTGCCTCCATTTCCTTAGGAGATCATCCTGGCTTCCCTTGATGTTTCCTTTGCATGTTTTGTGCGGATAGATTACAAGCGTGGGCTAGAAACTAAACTATGAGACTCCTGGGTTTGCTGCTGTCCCCGATGGATAGTATAAAGCAGCTGAAAGGGGACAAGCAGATGGTAGGGTTTGTCGGCCTCAGGCCTACCCAATCCTTACCTGTTGGCACCTCTCAGTTCTGCTGTACGTTCTCAAGATGGGGGCACAGTGTGGCCTAAATCCTGCTGACCTGTACTCATCGGTCTGTCTCAAGCTGCTGGCAGAGGGTCCGCATCCTCTCCAGTGCTAAATTTACTCCCAGGGCAAAGTCTGGCTCCCCATGTTCCATGAGGGCTGGCCTGCTGTTGTTGTTAGTGCAGAGAAGTTGGGGCTTATGCAGCCAACGTCGCCAGTGCTTCATAGGGAGAAGAGGTCAGCCTGCTTAGGGGATAAAGTACATGCCATAGGCTGAGAAAGTCCTGTGTTTGCTCCTGGCCACCCCATCCTGCTGCTGTTTGGCAACCTTGGGCAACAAAGATGGGAGAGGCCTTTCTCTGCAAGAAATCTGGGAGAGCCACTGGCAGGCGGAGGAGCCAGGTGGCTGCTAGGATGTTAACTCTACTTAAGCTGCTAGAGATGTTAGAATGGCCACCTCATATTCACTTCTTTTCACGTGATCCCATGTGGTGTGTTGCTTGGAGGAGCATCTAGGGCTGGTGAGACTCGTTGTGCTTTGTAATCTTCTGCTTGAAAATAAATGCTTTCGAAGGAAAGTCTGCAACCCCTTGTCATGTTTAGATGCTTTCCAAATGCTGTGAATTTTTTTTTTAATTTGAGAAACTCCTCTGGTAGATCAAGGGATCTGTCCTAATGCTTTTAATATTTGTCTGCGTCCACATGTCTTACATATTGCCATCACATAAAGATGCTGTACGTGTGATCTTACCGCACGTGTACCTTGCTGTATATGTGGTTTTTGCTTCCTCTGCTCTGTGGTTGACAACTGTGGAATTATGCTCAGGAGCTATGGGTGCAAGTTTTTTCAGTCCCACAAAATATTTGGAATATCCGCTGGCTGGAAGAAGGCCTCCAGTGTTGGATCCTGGGGTGGGGACTTTTCCCCCCCATTTGAGGCATTTTGTTGCAGGTGGGGTGTGTGTGTTGGTGGCCAAGGCCTGACATTAGAAATGGGCAGCGTCTCAAAATGAGAGTGAAAATAAGTGGAGAGAGTGTGGAATATGTGAACTATGGGCACCAAGAGGCCACATCAAGAAGGTGCATTTTGTGCACAGGGGGAAAATGGGTTGGATTTTTCTTTGATTAAGAATTGGTTGTATTTTAAGTGAACGATAGGGAATGATAAAATAGTGAAGGAATGCACTGTTCTCACTTTTAACTATTATCGCCTAGTGGGGAGCAGAGTGATGTTCCTCTTAAAAATAATTAGGGTTAAAGTGAGAGCGTAAGGGTAAAATAATGGGTGTGCAACGGAGCTGATTTTGTTGTTGCATCTCCCCAAGAGTTTGAGACAGTTTCATGTGAAACGTAAAATGACACAGATGGGAGTCCGGATCTGTCTTGGAATTAATGGTAGGGAGCTTAATAGGTAATCAGTGAGACTTATGAATGGAAGAGGAGAGGCCTGGCACTTATTGATGGACGTTGTCTTGGGAGAACCCAGTTTTGAAAATCAAGAGATGATGTTTTTATTGCATATCCACAAGGGGGTAGTGATGTACTGTGTAAGATACTTGAGGTGGAAATATTGGCCGATCCCTTTAAAAAAAACACTTTAAACGTCCACATCTAGGGAGTGTAGTTGAATCTTCTGTTAATGAGATCTTTAAAGGAATTTTGTATGGCTACGTTTTAAAGTGTTAAACACTTCGTTTCTCTGTTTAGAATGTGGAGCGGCTGGCAGGCAGAGGCTCTCCCCTGCTTGCGCTGTGGCACAGATCCACACAGGTCAAAATGTCAGTTACGCAGAAGGAGGCGTCTTCGCGCGTCCCATTTCAGAAGTGTTAAGACCAAGTGAGAATTGGGTAGGGAAATGTGGGACTCAAACATGAAGCGTAGAGATGTGACGGGAAGTTGACTAGAACAAAGAGGGGATGTTTACTGTTAAGATTCCAAATCCGTCTCTGAAGAGTGAAAAAGACGCACCATATTTCGGTGGGTTTATTCTCTCTTTTCTTACGTTCCGCTCCTTCCCATAACTTGGGTCAGATGCGTCTACCCATAAACCGTCGTCTTTGCGGTTTGCTAGCGGAGATGGAAAGCTGCTTGTAATTCAAGATGTCATCATGTTTCTTTTTAAAGCAGCTGGTATCAAACTGCAGGCTGGCCCTGCAAAACATAGGCTTGTCAGACAGCCAGGTGAGTGTTTTCCAGTTCCGTGTGATGATGGAATAAGCCAAGTGAGCTGCTGGGGGGCTTCTGCTGGTCTGACAGGTGAACGGAGACGGCGGGGGGGGCAGCGAAAAGACACAACGGCTGTGAAGCGATATGAAATGTATTGCTAGTGTGTGTATTTATCTTAACCATGACAAGGCAATTAGACAAGCACCTGTCGGGTCTGCTTTGATTTGGATCCCTGCATTGAACAGGGGGTGGGGGGTGGGGATGCAGTCGCCTAATAGGCCTCTTCATTATGATTCTGTGATTCCAACTTGGGAAAGAGTTTCGTAATAGCCGATGGGCAAAACAAAGCATGCTTCTTTTAACATGGTAGGATGAGAAGCCATTTAATGATTTCCCA